GTTTCCAAGGCGCAGCTGGTGGGTTTGAACTGCTGACCTTGTGGTTTGTAGTCCAGTGCGTATTCTACAGCACCACACTGGATACATATGGGTCTACATGCATGTATACATGTGTGTTCAGACATGCACTGAGATACACATTCACACATATAAACGCATGTACGCATGAACCTATAGCATGCATGTGCACACATGCACACGTGTGCACACACGTGTGTGTCCACATACCTGTGGATGTGTGTCCATGTATGTATGCATGCTCGTATACATGTGCACATGTGTACTAGTTACTGCTTCTCTTATACACATGCATTGCCATCCGTTCAGGCCTTGGTGTTTCTCCCAAGACATGTCTCACTGCAAAGGAGAGAAAAGCCCTCCCTCCATTCCTCAACAGGACTCCCCAGAGACTCAGCTCAGGACAGTAAGTCTAGGCCAAGTCTGGCGGCAAGATCTGGCTTTCTGTGCTGCTCGCCTTGACTGCCTCTCACAAGACACATTCAGTGGCCAGACGTAGGGCCCAGGCCAGCAAGCTAGCACCTCCGATCCATAGGACAAGAGGCATCCAGCCCCACGCTCCAGTGCCCATGCCACGACACGAGTGCAGCACCTGTCGGAGCCTGTGTCCCTGGGGAAGCCCCAGCCCGTGCTATGCTGGCGCTGGCACGTGGCCCCCCATTGTCCGCTCTCCCTCCCCTCAGAGTGATAGAGCCCCAGAGGTCATAGGGACTCCTGGGCATCTGTCTTGGGCGGGTGCTGGGCAATCAGAGAGGGGCTGGCCCAGGCTTATTGTGTGGGGTCTAGCAGTCCCCACCTCGGCAGAAGAGGCACTCTTTGTTCCAAGGCAATCTGTCATCCTTTACCCTCTCCATCGTTTCCAAGAAAGGGGGCCCCTTTTGGTTGGTACCCAATGGCCAGCCCTCTGTCCCTCGGATGCTCCATTCATACTTAAAATTGGAAAACTAGAACCTCCAGTCTCCGGAGCCCCATAGTCCCTGTTGACAGACTTCCCATCTCTGAGCAGTGTTTCATAACTGAAACACGTGTGAATAGAGACAACATGAAGACACACCCACCTGCTCCCACATGACATAATACAGCACCCCGCTCACCCCCTGTCTGCCTCCTCTAGGGCCCCAGGGGAAGCCGATGTCTGCTGCCAGGCCAGTGATGGGAACAGCAACATTTTCTCCTTGTGAGCTGTGAACATTCCATTGCAACCAAAAAATCCCTTCACTTTTTTTTATACATGTTGCTAACAAGGAGATTAGCCAACCAACCATACAATTTAGGCTCCATAATCCTCAAATGATATCTATCAACCCAGACGGTCCTAGGCCAAGGCTTGAGGCTTTTGGACACAAACCGAGTCTGGTGTTTCAGTCCCATCCAAAAGTCTGGCAGCCAGGTGAGAAAAGTCAGGTGAGTTATTTCTACTGAAACATTGGGTGGGCACCCTCCTTACTCGCTGGCCTGCATCATCACAGATGTAAGTAACAAAGCTCAAGAACCCGGGTGTTGGTTTCCCTGCATGGACAAACCCTAATTAAATACAGCGTGTGGAGACACACAAGTGGGTTGATGCAGTGAGTGCAGGGTGTGTTGGGAGGTGTTAGGGGATGGGGGCATCTACACGGCAGGAGCTTCAGACAAGACTTTAAGAAGTGTACTATTCCCTGGAGACATCACAGCCTGCTTTCTAGGTGGAGTCCCTAAAGTGTGGGGGGAGCTACACCTCTTCCTCACCATAGTGGGGAGATGCCCTCGGTCAAGTCTTCAAGGGCAGGGCCAATATAGGGCCTGGCCAGAGTGAGGGCTCCATCGCTGCTAGTTGGAAGAAGAGATGGCAGAATGGAGAGATGGAGGATGGAAAGGTAGAGAAATCGAGGAAGGTATGGAAATATAGGGAGATACAAGGATATAGGGGTGAAAGGATGGAGAGTTGAAGGGATAGAAAGATGCAGAATAAGGTTAAGGAAGACGAGGAGGAGAGATGGAAGGGGGAAGGGGAGGATGGGGAGATACAGGATAAAGGGACGGAGGATGGAGAATTGCAGAGTTGAAGGAATGGAAAGATGGAGGGAGAGAAGGAGAGAGGGATAAAAGTATGGAGCAACATCCCTAAATGCTCAGTTGTGCTCCGCCCCTTTCAAGGAACCTCAAAAGATAAGCCCCTGCCATGAAGACCTCAGCCTCTGGAAGGGCCCACCACAACCCACTGGCCATGGTGTGACCCACTCTCCTGCTCAGGAGATCCCCTCACAACCAGATGTTCTGTGCGCTCACATGCCATCTAGATAGACTCTCTGGCAGCTCGCCCTCCTCTCCAGCAGAACCCGTGTCAGTCTCTGTGTCTCCGGGCTTCTAGCCAGTCTTGGGTCTACTGTGCATCATCCTTCTCCTTGTTCATGATTAGTTCCGATATGTGCACAAGTCACAGGAAGAACAGGTCTCACTTACAAAGTGACACGTCGTGGAAGGTGTCCTGTCTCCCTTTGGACACATAGTGTCATGACACTGGGAGAGACTGCTGCCATCTTGCAGCCAGATCCCTGATATCATGGAGCCCTGGAGATAGCCAACCCTGGGGCCATCTGTCTTCAGGGTTCTTGGTGACTCCTCTCTGGTCCTGTCTGCTGCTACTTGCAGCCAAGAGCAATTCCAATGACTCTCCCTCACTGCTTATCTCCCCCATTTAAGGAAGGGCAAATTGGGGGAGGCTACCACTGCCATCTGCGAGTGTGTCATACTGTAGTGGCTTGTGTGTCGCTATGACGTTGTGTGTTGCTATGACATTGTGTGTTGGTATGATGTTGTGTGTTGCTATGACATTGTGTGTCAGTATGACATATGTTGCTATGACGTTGTGTGTCACTATGACGTTGTGTGTCACTATGACATTGTGTGTTGCTATGACATTGTATGTCACTATGATGTTGTGTGTCGGTATGACGTATGTTGCTATGACGTTGTGTGTCGCTATGACATTGTGTGTCGCTATGACGTTGTGTGTTGGTATGATGTATGTTTCTATGATGTTGTGTGTCACTATAATGTTGTGTGTTGCTATGACATTATGTGTTGGTATGATGTTGTATGTTGCTATGACGTTGCTATGATGCTGGAAACTCTACTACTGGGATCTCAAATATCAGCAGGACCACTCATGAGCAGCAGGTTTCATCGGAACTTCTAGATGAAAAAGAAAGGCCTGCTATCTATTTGCAAACATTAGATGTCACAGAGCATAATCTGCTAGGGTGCTAGAAGATGAGTCCCCAGGCTGGAAAGCATCAGAATGTCCAGTGGCCACAACCATGGACTTGAGGAGACCGATGACCCAGAATATATGCAGGACCAAGCAAAGTTTCATTCTGTTGTATCTGGCACTCCCTGGCACATGCTAAGAACTGGAATATCCAAGTGGTTTTGCTGTTGTTACAATTACTCTGCAGCTAGACTCTGAGGGTCTGCAAAGGGTTGAACAAGAGACCATGTGGACACTCCCCACACTCTCCCCTCCCCCCCCTTGGCAGGGGAAATTCATCTGGTTTGTATCGGGGCGTTGCATGTGATTGGGTATGAAAGGAGAAATCTGATGTTCAATGAAGTTTGAAATCCTTGGTCCCTGAGGCCTCTCTCCCCCACTAGCCGGGGTCCCCTGCCACCACTCACCTCCGGCCGGAAACAGGCCCTGATGTTCTGCAGACTTAGGAATCAAAGCGCCTCTGTGAAGCATACGTTTCCCGAGCACTTGGAGGGCCTGGGAGGTCCTGGATGGTGGAGAGGACAGGGGGGTATAATTGGCCCTCCCCTGGGCCCAACACCAGCTCTGGAGAAGGGGCCGCTCAAAGAAGGTCTGATTTCCCAGCCCAGAAGGGCACACATTTAATTAAGATCCATAAAAACATAGCGGGCAGAACGTAGAGCTATTTTGTTTTTCACAAGCAATACAGGCATGTGTCTCACCTGGAAAAGCGCTTTATGCAGAAAGAAATTCCCAAATGGGTTCCATATGCTGCCTCACCAGCCTGGACGCTCACCCCCTCTCCAGACGCAAGGCCCCAGCCCACACTGGCGATGGTGGCTGCAGTTTAAACAGACGTCATGGCCCATGATGTACAGGGCATTCCAAAGATTGTTTCCTCCCAGGGGAGTGGCGTAGGAGCCAGCAAGCCAGGTAAGCCACAGGGACCCACTGTGAAATGAACTGGCTCCATGGTGACCCAAGCCATGAGCAGAGACCACAGATGCTGTGACCCAGAAACAGGAGGGACCCAGGACCATCTGACCACAGCCTCCATAGATGGGACCACAGAGGCCCAGAGAGACAACACAGGTTGCCTAGGTCATAAATCTACCATCATCCCTTCGTCATCCTCATCCTCAACCTCGTTGTGGTTGGGTGTCATGGAATGGATTCTGCTCCCATAGGGCTGTCATCTTTATAGGATTAGATCATCAAGTCTTTCTCCCATGGGTGGGTTTGAACTGCCAGTCTCTCAGTGAGCAGATGAGCACTTAACCACTGCACCTTCAGAGCTTCTGAGCAGAAATCTAGGTAGTCACAAAATGTTAGCATGGACCCAGGGTCTCACTCCCTTCCAGAGGACCCAGGAGCGGGGGAAGGAAGGGGCTGTCCTTGATACTGTCCCATGGCATGGTGTTTCCCACTTCATCCAAATGTCACCTGCTCCAGGAAGCTCTCTATCCTCTGCAGCACTACTATACATATGTATTCATTTACATATATCAGTTTCTTTGTTCCCTGTCACCATCATTAGGATTGGGTCCCAAGCGAGCAAGGCCCATGGTTGTCTTGTCACTGCTGTGTCCCTGTGACTAAGACAGACCTTAGTGCATGACAAGTGCTGTTGATTGCCCCTCCTTCATAATCACCACCATCATCTTCTTCCTCATCCCTATCATCCTCAGCCTCGTTATCTCCTCATCATCATCACCATCATCACCATCACCACCATCACCATCGCCATCAACACCACCACCACCATCACCATCAATACCACCACCTTCATCACCACCATCACCACCATCACCATCACCACCATCACCACCATCACCATCACCACCATCACCACCATCACCACCACCATCACCATCATCATCACCAT